TATTTCTATCCCCCCCCCCAAAATAAATCAGCAATTATTGGGGGTAGAAGACTTTGCTCTTTCTTAAACTGCTGAAATTTGAGCTGCGAATTCAGTCTTCTGTGCCTGATTGGTTTGGAGTCTGAGACTAAATAAACTAATCAACACCCTCCTGGTGCTCCTGGCATTCTGGATCTCTAAAAAAACTCAGCAAACTTCAGATTCTATGTTCTATTCTATGTTCCGAACATCAGGTTCTTATGTTTTCATGGCCATCTCCAAATACTTGGAATGTTGCAGTAAGTGATTCTTCTCATAATTCAACTGTGCAGTCTATTATTTATTTATTCCCTAAAAAGGAAGGGTTCTTAAATATTTGATGTTGCCAGCTTCAGAATCTCTGCTGTCTCTAATCGGCTGTCCTTGATTATTACAAGCTCCATGGTGGGCTGTGAATTACAGTTCTCCCATTCTAGCTACAAGGGAGTTTATGTATCTATCCTGGCTAGAGTTCTCCACTGGAATCAATGCAATGTTTGAGATTAATTTTTATTAGGACATGATTATAGCCCCTGATTGTAAGATGAAGTTCTCAGGTGCAATCTTTGATGTTCCCATTTTAAAAGTGCATGAGAAAAATTTCTGCTTGACGTTACTTGGTCATTTAAACAAACGGCAACATATAAGACAGGCTTCCTTTTTAATTCCAGGTCAGGTCAAAAAAGAATTTTAATTTCAAGCGATTTCTGATTGTCATATGGGATATCCCACAGGACCAATCGCTTCTTTCAAATCTTCTCCTCACCCCTGAAATTTATGTATTCAAGAATAAACAATATGGTATTTTATCGTCCTAGCAGGCAAAAACAGCCTGTACTTTCACTGCTCCATAGGTGGACACGCTATCCTGCTGATGAGACAGTTAAAATAAAGGTGTCACCAAAACACTGAATGCACTGGAAATGCACTCAGGTTGAGCTGACCTACATCTCAGTTGGAATCAGTAGCTTTCCCTGCTTTGATCACCCTTGTTTCAACTTCAAAGAACAGCAGCAATGTTGTCAAAAAGCCAGATTAGAGGCAAGATTTTGGATCTGATTGCCATAAAATCTTTTAGCATATACAGTATACATCCAGGGCATTTTATGTCTGTTTTGTGATATATACAGTTAGTGCACAAAACTGTAGGCAATCCTATGTTTGGTTCCTAACTTTTCCAGTTAGAGCAGCCTCTCCTAACCTATCCCTCTCCAGGACAGAATTTTAAAAATCCCATGTTGACTGGGAATTAGGAGAGTTATAATCCAATGTATGTGGATAGCACCAGGCTGAAGGAGGCTGGGCAAAGGTTGAGGTAGCTGGAGTGAGCACCAGGAGGAGAAGGACAGACACCGCACTCAGGATTCTTGGAAAGATATTAGTATGTTTTGGTTAACTTCTTTGAACTTGATTTGGAAAAAAAACCCTATAGAGTAAATTAGAACCAATGTTCTACTTAAAAGCAGAATATTTTTTAAACCAATAAGCGTGAAGTTTAAAAAGTGAACTTGTTGAACATAAAATCTGATTATATGATTTAACATTTGATGTTTTGGTTTATTGGATTACCTCCAGTATTGTCCACAAAACAATAAAGTTAATAGCCGAAGTTAAAAGAAAAAGGTGGGGTGGAGTTATTTTCACCCCATTCTGTTCTCTGCTGCAACATTCCAGTATTTTGCAAGACCAGAAGGACTCTTGAGTGGAAAGTAATTTTAAGCATGTGGGGAGAAAATCACCTGCCATTCCCTTGTTGTGATAGATAGCATCTAGTAGAGAGAGAGTCTGACCTTAATTCAGCTTATTTGATAACAGGATTTCAAACTAAGAAAATGCTTGCAGTTTTATAAAAGAGAATAAAAGCAGAAGTGAAGCTAGAGTGCAGAGAAAAATGAAACAATATAAATACATAGCTATATCCAAACTTTTCCTAAGCCATAGTGCAGGTTATTTGGTTATGATTTAGTGTAATATGCAAATCCAATCATCCAGAAGTGGGCAGGAATATCTGTAAGGGATCAAAATAATCAAGATGGTGGGCCTGGCTGTGCAATTGAAGCCCCCCCTTTTTTTTACATGCATCACATATAATTGCATGTTTAAAAAGGGTCAGGACTTCAGTCTTGCAGAGGTGATTGCTATCTTTTTTTTGCTCCCCTACTCCTGCAGATGCCCCTAGCAGGGAGTCACTCTTGGCCTTGGATGGATGTGTCAGGGGCTACACTCAAAAAACAGAGATATGAAAATAATAGCATTAATTTTATATTTCAGATGCAGGCATCATATCTCGATATGTTTAATCAGTTTACCTCCCATGTAGGACAACTCACTGCAGCCAACTTATTTTAAATAATGAAACAGAATTGTTGAATTGTCCCACAGCAAGTTGTCTCACAGTGAGTTGGCCATGGTAAGTTGGCTGCGGCAATTTGGCTATGGTGAGCCGGCTGTGCCAAGTTGGTCATGGGGAGATGTCCCATTCTGCCATGTATTTAGCGTTTTGCTTTTATAATTGGGTGGTGACTTTTGTGGGAACCTCAGTCAAAGCTTCTAGGGATCTAGTGATGTCTTGGGGCATTCCCAGCTGTGTGCCATAAGTGAACAGAGCCTCTGGTTCTTTTTCTACATTTCACTTAATCCTGAACTGCATAAAATGAATAGTTTCTCATTAGATAACGTTATCCCAGTAACTGTAGCAATATATTTCGGAAAAATTAACACAAATCCAATGCTATTATGTAAAATTGCAGACCCTGGGATGGTTACATCCCCATATATTTAAATAGAAGCTCAGAAATTCTGACTTTTTCTTCCTATTCAGCATATATATATAGCAAGAGATTGTCATAAGTTCAAACAGTATAGTTGCCCAATATGTGTTCTAACAACTTCTTTAATACCTTTAATACCCGTAAACGTCAATGCCAAAATGCCAAGAAATCTCAGCAGGGCATATACAGCACAGCCTCTTGCATATAAAGCCAGCTCAGGCCCTTTGGGTCTGCAATGGAAACTTACCTTTTCCAAATACGATGAACACATAAGCTCAAGGACTGAATGCAGGATTGCTGAGATCAGGGCTATTCTGGGGTAGACAAGTTATGTCCTGCTGATAGGAAAGGATTAATGAGCTGGTCGGCTCATTCGTTGCAATTAGAAACAACACTCAAACTATTCTGGGGCTATTTTGATGGCAAGAAGCTCAACAACAGCTTATCAGAACCCAGCTACTTGTAAGGCTTCATGTAAAATGAGGGTTGATGTAAAAATATAGGATGATAAAACCAGGGACAAGCACTAAAGTGGTGGGTCTTCTTTTGGAAGGCAAATGGACTATGTATTAACTGGCACACAGGCATTTTCAAAGAGGACAGGTTTCAGGAACAGACCCAGCAGGATTTGGGGCTGAGGGGAGCTTGCATTATTAGTCTAAGCTCAGATTGCAGCTGTTATTTTGACTGCTATGGGGAACAAGAAGATCTAATCTTGCTGCACCAAGAACTTTAAAAAATGGGGATGGGGGATGCCAAGGAAAGGGGTGCACCTTTTGTACACATTTTATTAGCAGAAATTTATGATTGGAGGTGCTTGTTCTTCATGTTTGCGTATTTTTGTCAAGGAAGAGCTTTATCAAAATAACCAGTATTGTCCAGTAGCCTTTTTCCAATTCATGGTCCTCAATCAGATGCTTCAAGAAAAGAGCGATCAGGTTAGGGAACGCTAGATTCTGGATGTAATGGTTTTGCAGAAAACAATGATGCAAGTCCAGGTGTTATTGTTTAACTCTTACCACTGAGACTTAAGAAGAGTGAATGCAAATATGGCAAAAGAAAGACAATGAAATTGATGAAAGACTTGTAAGTTCTACCAGTAAAGATTGACACGATCTCCAAATATTCTGAGAATTTATTTTTATTTCCTATTTCTAAACCACTCATCTCCTTCATCTTATCACCCCAAAGGTTTCATAAAATCGTTTGTTGATGATGCCATCAACTTTCATGAGTTAGAAAAATCTTGTCAGATGATTTCAGCCATTTTAATACATATAAAATGGAAGCCACGGCATCTGAATGAAGGAGCACCAGTTACAAATGCTTGAGATGATGCTTTAGAGATATTTTTCTTATGACAATTTTCTAGGTATACTGACTCCCCTACTTTTCTTTAAATTATTCCTATCAATAAATTTCCTGGAATTGACTGTAAGGAGTAATAAAGTTAGGTAATAACTCATTTCAAAACCTCAATAATTTCGGGTAGATGTTGAACAGCATGTAAAGTAAGAGGAAGCTCCAGAGATGCCATAGGTTAAACAACAGTTCCCTAACACCACCTTCAGAACATGGCCTGACAAGAGGTACTGGAACCAATGTTTCTTCTAGAGTTTTGTTATTGGGCATCCAGAAGTATATCATAGTCAGTAGTATCAAAAAGCTATCAACAGATTTAGGAATTGGCTGGTCCATATTCTCACAATCAAATTTCTAGCCTCCCTTCATCACAGGCTAGTGCCATATCTAAAGGTTTTATCATGCAAGACAGTGAGACTGTAAATGCTTCATTTTTCCTCCAATAATTTCCAATATGAAAATATTGGAAATTAGGAACAAACACCTATCAAGTCACAGGTTTCCTACTTCTGACATTGGGAAAATAAATAAATTTAAAAGTTATATCTTCCAGTATTTATAAGCTCATCTTTGGCTAAAATTTCTCCATAAACCAAGTAGTCCTTGTTAGTCAAGGAGAATTCCTATAATTTAATTAGTGTATGCAAATTCACTTACATTTATATTTTCATAAAGCAACTATCGTCATACAAATCAGGACCTGATCATTCTTGTCTTTTATTATAGAGGACATTGACATTCCCCTTTGAAAGGAGGAGGAAATTGAGACAAAAGAACTACCATTGTTCAGAAAAAGGCAAAATATATAATAAATTCTTGTAGAAAATTATTTTAATAAAATGCATCAAAAAGTGAGAAAATATATATGTTTAATAACTCTGTTTGGCAAAAGTAACAGTTACATACATACATACGTCTTCCACCACACCTCTTTTATTTCAATATATACATATATATATTGTCTTTTTAAAAAAATCCAAATTAAAAAAGCCCTCATCACAACTATGATGCTTCTATGAAACAATTTTACAAACAGCAGACATTTCCTATTCCTTCCAAACTAATCTTATCAAAAGGCACAACTTACCATCAAGTTTTCTGTGCACTCAGTTGAAATGAATGAAAGAGGTACAAAAAGACTCATTTGAATGGCACTTGCACAACACTTTATTCTACTTTTATTCTGCCAAAGCTTTCCATTAACCAGAAGCAGGATGGGAGCCCTCATACATGTCTGTTTAAGAAACACTAGCATTGCTAATAAAGTCAGTGGTAAAACAGAATTTATAATGTCCGATTTCACAACTGACATGACCAAGAAAAAAAATAAACATTATTCCAAAGTGAAAGGGACTAGAAGCCAAAAGGATTTCCCCAAGAAGATTCAAATAGTTACTATTCTGAATATGGGTATTCAATTTGTAGATAATGAAGTAATAGGCAAAGATTTAGATGATTTCCTGAGAATGAATCATAACTCCATGAGACATACCTCCATTTTATTTCTGCCTTTACAGTTCCCCATTTAGGAATCACATAAATATAACTGAAAGTTGGCTCTTTTTGATATTTAAATAGATCTTATGATGCAAAATGAAATTAAATTACTTAAGGATATGTCTGCACAACTTCATATGCTGCCATTTCCCTACTTAACTGGATGCCAAATTAAGAAAAATGACATGAAGTTTCTGCAAATTTCCAACTTTTTATCTGGTTTGTGATTCTCCCACCTCTTGTGTAGCCCCGTAGGAATCAGTGCACCCATTCTATTAGTGTGAGAGTTATTTACTTATGTGAATTAAAAACTGGCAAGAAAAAGACCCTTAGAAACAAGGGCATCTACAAGTATGCAGTTTCTGAAATGACAATACTTTTCTCCATTAATACTTTCCTTTTCTCCGCTTTGCATTTTCACTTTAGAAAAATAAAGTGAAACTCCCTGAGAAATACTTAAGTTGAAAACTTGCAAAATACCTTTTCAATGGAAAAATGAAGAGAGAAGAAATGAGAGAACAAAGTGCACTTCAGGAGCCTGATCCCATCTTCAGACTGATGAGAGCCCTTGATAAAAAAAAAACTCCATCTGAAGGTCCTATAGATGCCATTGGCTTTTGATATTTATTCTGTATGTACCGGGCCACACATGCACTATTGTGAATTATTGTGTCAATGGCAAACTGGTCCAACACCACTTCTGTGTGTTGATGCTGCAGGCACACTGACCAGTTGTCAGATGTCATCTTGATCTAGCCAAGAATGTACAGGCCTTCCCTCCTGGCTTCATTTCTTCTTTTTTGTGAATACATCTGAGGGTATCTCAGATCAGTCCAGAAATATGGAATTGAGAAAGTGTTGAAAAGAGAAAGCAGTATGGAGGCTACTATTTTAGTTCAATATACCACGTATAAACTAGGACTAGATTGTTGTGTCTGATCAAAGCTGCTATAAGTGAGATAGGAGCCACCTGATACATCATGGATAAGTTATCTGGGCAAAATACATGCAGTCCCATGCTCTTCCATACCTGTTACAAGTTGAAAGCTAAACTAGCTAAGTGATTTTATGAAGGAAATAATAAAAAGGACACACACACGCTCACAATTCTAAAACACTTCATTTTATAATCAATATTTTTCTTTACATAAACAGAAACACGCCAGTATTTTGTGCGAAAAAATATTTTAAATAAACTTTGCTTATTCTTAATCTTTGTACATTCTGATATACATATGTAACAAGGTTTATGGCACCATTACTAGAACCAGAAAAGGGGGAGGGGGGAATAATTGCTTTTGTTGTATTCCTGCTTCTATATCAAGCCAGTAATCTTTGCACTATTTCTTAAAAAAATAGTATTATTACTGTGTAGCCTGCAATAATTGGTTTGAACACTCAAAATAAAAATACTTTCCATCTCCAAAAACTATTATTGCACAAGAAGCCAATAAAGGCATATGGCATAAAATGGTCAAGTCCCTTGGTGTTTAATGTCCTACCCCTCCTACCCACAACCCAAATAGAAAAATAGTACCAGAAGATGAAACGCAAGAGGAAATAAAAATGTGTTCTCTAGCCAGAAGGGTGAGATGTGATTTGCAAATAATTTAAGCTGCTCTGATCATCTTTGCACCAGCAAGCATTTTCATTAGGTTTTCTTTAGTAAAGTCTTTGCAAACTCAAGGCCTGTGGATCTAGTCTTTTTGCTATTATTTTGGCTGGTTGTGTCATTATTTTTTTAAAAAATAATATAGCTGTTCTCAGTCTATGAACCTGCACAGACTACTTAGTCATAATCTCTACAAGTAGCTGAACCACCCACCCCCTCAAAAAACAAAAACCCTAAATAATATCCAGGGAGGGTTTTTTTTTTCTCCTAAACATCCATTTTTAAAAGCTGGTTTCTTTTTAAGCCTTTCTCCTTCCTCCATTCCTTTGAGAATTGATTTGCAATGGCATTCTGCGCAAAATCTGTGACGACTTTCAAAAAAGAAGTTGTTGTTTTTTAAAAAAAGCTTTCCCTAGTAAAGCTGAAAAGAAAAGAATCACCCACGCTTCCCAGTTTGCAGAAAGTTTAGGAAAAAAAAACCCTGTCCTGTGGTTCTTTGATGTCACACAACAGTCTCAACCCCAATCAGCTTTGGCGTTAGAATTCGTGGTGTGACTCCATTGTTCAGATCTTCTTCAAACTCCAATAACTGCCCCATGAAATTAAGATTGGGAGAAATGATTGGTCGCTTGCCTTTGACAAACTTATAGGCATCTGTCATAGTCATCCTTGTGTGCTTCATAAGGTATGCAATGACAATGGTGGCGGAACGAGACACCCCAGCCTGGCAGTGGATAAGAAGACCCTTCCCGCATTGATGAGCTTCCTCTGAAAAGATCAGAAACAAAGGGAGATATTGACTTTAATAGAGAAAAGGTCATTGAAAGAGATCAAGACATAACTTCATGATGCAATTCACAGCTTAACATTTCACTGGCCCAATTTCACATTGGGAAGGCAGACGAGAGGGAAGAGGTAGGAGAATTAGGCATTGTTCAGCTTCACTCTGCCCTTTCCATACCTGATTTGTTTTTGCTAATGTACAAATCAATACAGGGTCAAAATGGAAGCCCCCAACCTCATGGCTTTGCTCGTGTTCAGAGAGTCTAATCAACACAGAAATTGCATTTATATGAATCAGCACTGCTGCTTATGAAGTATCGAAACAGTCCAAAGTTCATAAGCCTTTGAGAAATGTGCTTTGTGCTTTGCTTCTCTTTGTTCCCAGTAAGCAATTCTAAAGCTTTTTTTGGAAAAATAGCCTAGAAGAATCCATTGCTTCTCTTTTCTCCAGCACTCCTTGTTTCAGAACATTTCTGTTATTACAACCTCCCATGAAAGTTCATTAGAGTCTTGCTGATAAGTGAATGGGAGGCATATTTTAGGTGTTTTATATATACTGAAAAGTCATGGATTGTTTTGGCTATTTTTCTCAGGGCCTGATAGCCCTATGTATTGTATCTTGACAGAATTCAACCAACTTTTAAGAAAGGAATCGGGAACCTTCAGGTTGGACATTTCTTGCAGAAACACATTTCTCAGGATATTTTATCACTGGCTGTGTTGCTTCATGATGCCAGAAACACTAGTGCAGCATTTGAAAAGCTAAAAGTTCTCCACCTTTCTTTTATTATTTGCAGGATCTTCATATGAATCTCATGCCTAAAACTACCCTACATACTTGAATATGCACAGGCCAGCAATGCAAAGCATTGGTAAAATGGTCACTGTCTGAAATGCTCAATCATGAAATTGCCAGACTTATGTCCAACGTAGTACAGAAAATTTATTTAAGCTTTGAAAGAGTAAAGAGGCCAAGGGCAAAATCTGAAACCATGGGTTATTTCTTTCTAATTTGTCACTGTAATTATTTTTTAATTCTAATGTTGGTGTCAGAAGCAAACTTGAAATGAAAAAGTATGTCTAGAAGAGATTATGTAAAACTTAGATAAACACTGAAGGTCCCTACCCTCAAACAGCATATCATATTTTGATTACTGAAATAAGAATCTCTACTTGCTACTATTTAGCAAGTGGTGGTTTCATGTAAGTTAATATAAAAGAAGTTATTCAGTAACAGTAACAGAGTTGGAAGGGACCTTGAAGGTCCTCTAGTCCAACTCCCTGCTCACGCAGGAGACCTGTATAGGGATTCGAACCGCCAAACTGCCAACCTTTCTGATCGACAAGCTCAGTATCTTAGCCACTGAGCCACCTAGTCAGGGTGTCAAGTTATACTGTACACTATTTGGGAAAAAAAGTGTTTTTGAGATTGAATATATTCTCATATCTTCTCAGGAAGTCATCATCTGGAAAGAAATATCTGCACTTTCTTTTGGCAGTATTCAAAATTTAATTTGAAATGGGAAAAATTCTGCAACATTTTATTCGATCTCATAGAGTGCATTTCTAAGAGAAAAGCAACAGCAATATTTACAACTGGGATCTTTTCTTGGCAAGATTTGTCCCTCCACATATCTTGTAAAAGACACATAAATTCAATATGGCAATTCCTTGCACTATTCAAAACTATCCTAAAGAAATTTACCAACAAAACAAGGAAAGAAAAAAAACCAGACCAGGATTGTCTCCAGCTTTGGTTAATTCAGAAAATAGCACTCATAGGCTTTAGGAAATGTCATTGTTCTGCAAGTAATAATTAATGTGATTAATAAATTATATCAGCTCATCTTATCAGATCTGGTAGAAGAGGCATGCTGAAAGTCCTTTTTAGGGAACTACACTTGGTCCCAGAAGGCAGACTTTCTCTGCCATAGCATTCCCCTCCCCCACAATCACAAAGTGATATCATCTCCATCCTTAATGTCTATGGAGATTCTCAGTCATCCAGGTCATGGTTGCCCCAAAGGTGCTTTTTCAAGAGGCAACTGGACATTCTGGTTTTTCTTTGAAAATGTTTCACTTCTCATCCAAGAAGCTTCTTCAGCTGAAGAAGCTTCTTGAATGAGAAGTGAAACGTCTTCAAAGAAAAACCAGAAAGTCCAGTTGCCTCTTGAAAAAGCACCTTTGAGATATCTCCATCCTTACTTATTTTCTGGAAATTCCTCAATATTTAGCTATGCCATCAGGCTTGATAGTCCCAGGAGACTGGTAAGATCTGGAGGTAGCTTCATTATGGCTGTTAACATCTATTCTGTTGTGTGCCTTATGATTCTTTTTTTAAAAAAAAATTTAAACAATGTCTGCTTTTTATTCATCGATTTATCATTAAATTTGTTTGCTGTCCATTTCACCTTGAGGTGACTCCTTTTACAATGTTATATACAAAAACATGTATTTAATAAAAATGAAACACTATAAAAACAACTAGGGAGGTGGGATCTGTTATTTATCAACCACGTTTTATGTTTATTCTTTAATATCCTTATTGTATGCCACCCAGAGTTATTTTGTTTTGTGAGATGGGTGGGCACACACACACACACACACACACAAATGCCAGGCAACTTTTGTGGTTACAAAGCTAAACCCTGGTATGCCCTTGCAAGTTGAACAGTGCAATAAACAATACAGAGTTTGCTAGTCAGAGAAAAAAAGAAGGGCAATTCTATTTTATGGCTCTCAAAGTCTTTATCTGCCAGTTAAACAATAAATAATCTCTTGGCATGTTTAGTTTCCTAGAGCTAGAAATTTGCTGCTCGTTTCCTTTTCCTCTGTAACAAACAGTTACAGTACATTTAAGTTGCTATGTCGTAATGGTCCAGTGCAAATGGGGCAAGGCTTGGATGGTTAGATAAGGCCAAAGTTCTTATTTTGCTATATGGGCTCTGGAAAAATGGATTTGGCCTGGAAGCGCAACAAATCTTCAGCTGATGCAAGTCTCATCCTGTTGCCAGCACAAAGGGAATAGACTAGTTTTATTTAGCAAAAGGACTATTAAGCTGTTAAACAAAAACTGTACAACCTAGACCCACAAAGAGCCTTTTGAGAGAAAACTAGAAAAAATGACATATTTACAGAAAGATCAAATCTGTCTTTCTATCTATATTTAGTATTCCCATCAATTCCATTTTTATGCCCCAAATCAAACCTCACAAGGAAGCAGTGAGGCAAGCTGAAGGCTTTAATCAATTTTTCCCAATCTTGTGTCTGTGGCTGTCTGAGTGTATAGGGCCTCAACTGACATAGTCTTCAGCTAGCATGGCCAATGTTCATGCTAGCTGAAGGATGAGGAAGTTGATGACTAACACATCTGGCACCAGTTGGGAAACACTGTCTCAACTTACCTAGGGGGAAAAAATGTATGTTTCTATTTCCACGGATAAAATAGCTGCAAGCATTTTGGCTCAATATTATTAGAAATTCTGAAAGCACATCATTGTACCTTTTAACATTCTGTCCAAACCCAAAAGCCAAAATGCATCATGCCAGATAGAATAAAAAGAAAAGTGTTACCTTGAACAACATACATATATATAATCCTTGGCCTGTTAGGAAGCTTTGCTGCAACTCTCCCTTCATAATCGTTCCTAGTCATATTTAACTCTGTCCTATTTTTTCATCAACCTCTTCCCGCAAGCCTACTCTGTAGGATCATATCTTCTGAGAGTTGTGTGCAGATCAAATAGCATAAAGCTTTATGTTTTGCAAAATTATCCTTCTTTCTTGAACTGTATTCTGGGGGAATGTCACCAGAAGACATCCATAATAAAGGACAAGCTGTTCTCATAGCATTGTTGGGTAAACTGGCTAACCTCAAAAAGCAGCCCTGTGTGATCAAAGGAAGACCAAAGAAGCACCCATCCATCCCAGCATCTAAATTCCCATAATCCTGAAGTCTTGTTCACACTTGCTTTTTAGCAGCTGGTATTCTTGTGACATGCTGCTTTTCATCTTGGAAGTAATAAAACCCTATTGCATTTAACCACTGAGACCGTTATTCTCCATGAATGTGTATCAACACCGCTGGGAATTTGTGGCCATAATCAGTGAACCAGATTTGACAGTTTAACCAAGCACTACTCTTTTAATATTGTGACTACAATTTCCCAGCTTTTATAATATTGAATTTATGAAGGCAAAGTCCATCTGAGGTGTTCTTTTCACAGATCTCTAATCACCTGCACTGGATTGCTGTTTCTGAGATAACCTGTTAATTGATAACCTCTCAATATCCCTATGAGTAAGAGGTGGTATTCAGCAGGTTCTGACCAGTTTGAGTAGTTTGGAAAACCAGTAAATACCACCTCTGACTGGCCCTGCCCTCATCTATTCTCTGCCTCCCAAGTCCCAGCTGATCGGGAGGAAATGGGGATTTTGCAGTAACCTTCCCCTGGAGTGGGGTGGGAATAGAGATTTTATAGTATCCTTCCCCTGCCACACCCACCAAGCCATGCCATGCCCACCAAGCCATGCCCACAGAACAGGTAGTAAAAAAAATTTGAATCCCACCACTGCTATGAGTCTCTCATAAACGGATATGTTGTTCCTTTGAGAGTGTGAGAATACAGAGAAAGTATATTAACAAACATCTGCAGCATGGTATTAAAATGGTATTAAAATGGTATTAATAAAGATTCCCTATCAAGCCTATGTTTTACCCCCCAAAAAGTATATCTACCCTAATGAATAGAAACCTGCAGGAAAAAGTGTGAATACTACAACACGTGATCAATTATTTTAGAAATGGAGCCAGGGATAAATAAAGAGCTTCCGCTGTTAAAATGCCCAACCAAAGTAACTTCAATCATCCAACCGTCTGGACCAAAATAAATCTGTTTTATATATTCCAACCCAGAGCTAAAGTCACAAGAGCAGCACTTATTTAGAGCAATCTAGTCAAAGTGGAAACAAGAATAGTTACCAATGAATTCAAAAGCCTCTTCGAAATACTGTCTGAGGTTCTGCTTGTTGCTATCCGTGGCAGGGAGACGTTTGTAGCTGAACAAGCCTTTCTCATAATGGTAGAGAGGGAGGTGAGTGGTGACGTTGATTACGTAGCCGATGTTCAACCTCTGGATCTTCTCCAAGTCCTGAGCATCATGTTCATTGCCAAGAAAGAGGAAGGGCAAGATGGGGGTGAGCTCGGCATTCTCAATGTCTGGAGTGGTAGCAATGGACTGAGGTAGTGTACAGGTTACTGCGGCACCTCCACCTCCGCTTTCAGGACACTCCTGAAGTTGGAGGGAATTATCACAGAGGTTTTCGTGGTTCTGCTTAAAACTGCTGAGTCCACCTACAACAAGAGAGAAGAGTTGGGTTTTTAATGAGAGAAAATGGAAAGGGGGGGAGGGTGAGAGCTCAGTGCTGACAGTCTTAATCCACCAAGCAAAGGCAGAGGTCCTTCCTGTTTCTGAAGCTGTAATTTTCATTTTCTGCCATGTGCTGGAAACTCAAATGAAAGCTGCTTGACAAAGCAAATTATCTTGGATCACAAAGTCCAGGAATATATTTGCTTACTACTTCTTTCACTGGTTTGTTAGTGGTCTCAAAAAACAGACAAGATGCCTCTACGTTGCAGTAGATACTTGTACTCACTTTACATATTTTAAGATCCCCCTGGGTTTATATGGACCTTTCTGCAGCTTAATAACTTTTCGCACAATCTCATAGTTCACAGGAGTTGAATCCAATACCAAAGTTGAAATCAAAATTGAAATGATACCTAACTCTGGTTTGTGTGTTGCAAGAAATGGAAAAAATACACACATTTGATACCTTTTGCTTTCTTTTTCTTTCAAAAGAATAGTGTTTGTAGCTTTCAGTTTTATGGTGTTTATTATGGGTTTGGTTTTTTTTACATTTTATATCTGTGGCTTTTTTTATAGTGTTGTTTTGTTTCATTATTGTATGCTGCCCAATGTCGCTTTTGACTTTGATAAATAAACTTCTGAATCACACCATTTGGATTTCACAATCTAATTTTCCTCCTAATAAAAGTCTGCTTCACAAAGAAGAGATTACTCAAAAAGGGAATTGTTAGAAGACAGGGTACACACAATATTTTTTTTCCCTAATGCCTGAGTAGGCATTCAGGATTGCCTTCAGCTCTCTCTCTGTTGGGACACCGATTCAGTAAAGTAAAAATGTGAAAACTTTCCTCCCTTCAATCCAAATGACTTTAGCTGAGACTCCCCACCTGCCTAGTTGCCATGGCATTGACACAAAGACATAGAATGACATCAGCATGGCATGACATCAGCTCTTTGAGTGCAAACAATGTAAGAAGCACCACTTTGTTTAAGGGCTTTTGGTACAACTGTGTGTTTCAGAGCCCATGATGTAATGCTAACAGGTGGTTGGACCAGCTTTTGCTTCAGGAGGAGGAGGAAAATACAGTTATGGCCCTTCTGAATGCGTAGGAGATTATAGGTGAGGCAGCTATAACAACAGCGGAACTTTGTCTTTAATTAAAGAGAAATGCTGCCTTTGGCAAACTGGGCAAGTGGACTTTGGAAAATTACAATATATATTGCACAAAGCAAAATCAGCTTAACAGAAAATCTTATTCCTTATACGCATATTGAAAATCAAGACATGGTAACTTAAAGGTTCCCAAATCATTCAGGATAGTCCCACTATTTCATCTATGGTTGCTCTTCTATGCCAAAATAACTTTAAAAAGTTTAGACATTCCTCAACTAAGTTCTCAAAGAAAAATACTAAATATGCTAGTCATTACAAAAAACAAGTAGCTTAAATTTAAAAGATGAGCATTTAAGTACAAGAGTATAGGTGAGAAGTCAAAAGTTTGATTTTCCTAATAATTTAGTAGTTTGCTCAATTCATTTGAAGACCTCCTCCCCGCACCCCCTGTAGGGTTTTGCTATTTTGTTAGCCAACAGAGAAACATTATGATCAAAATCTACAGTAATTCGACAGAGCAATCTCAGAAAGATCAGATTCTTTTGCTCTGAATTCTGTGTAAGCCCTTAAAGGCTTCTTCCTTTCAGTCTGGAGAGAACAATGGGAGAAATCTTAAAACATTTCAAAAGAGAGGTCAGCAGCACCAAATTGCAGCTTTGGCTTTAGCCAGAGGAAATGTTTTTCCTTCTCCGTATCATGAATATCCTTCTTTTTTTTAACTATGTGCTCTAGTTCTTAGGTAGCAGTATGAATTTTCCCATAAAAAATCTGTGTTCCTAATGGTGGCTTGGTGAGAAAATGCAATCAGAGCACACTTTTTCTACTTGCATAATCAAATGGAAAGCTACACCTGCTCCCAGGTCCACTGAGGTGTTTTTTGTTGTTATTGTTGGGCCTGGAGTAAAAAGTAGGGTCTCTCTCCAAAATGAGGAGCATGCCAACTGTAAGAAAAGCTTCCACTCTACTTAAGAAAATATGGCTGAAAAATCTGAGGCTTTCTCTAGATACTGCTGTTTTCATCATTGGCCAAGTTTTTGGGAGATGCTGTGTGTTGTGGTTCAGCAACATTTGAGAGTCTGCAGGTTCTCCCTATAAAAGATTTCAGGCATAACTAATGTAAATGCAAAGCTCTGGTGAGTCTTGTAGCTATCCACAAGATTATAGTCTCATCTCAAGCCACATTTTGGACATGGTTAAAGCAAACTCTTACCGTAGTATAACTATCTCTGATACAATAACCTGGGAGATGGGAGATGGATTATAACTGCTAGGAAGACCAGGTATCCATATTTCATATTTGAATTTCTGACAAGAGGAGGGGGAGGAAGGGAAGGTATTATGAAGATGGTCAGAGAAATGGACAGCACTCTGAGGCAGTAACGGAATTAAGGGAATAAGGCTGGGAAGGAAGAATGGGTGAGTGATGTGCAGTAGCTAAGGGGGAGAGGAAAATGTTGGGAAGATTGATAGATCAGGCAGGCAGGTGGATATAAGTTGGTAGCAAATATAATTCTTTCCCCTCACCCTGGCTCTGCCCCAATCCATAGTTCCTGACTGACAAAACACTAGAAGGAAAAGGAGTCCTTCAACAATCCTTAAGGCTGGTGCTAAGAATGATGGCCCTATCTTTGAAGGGCTGGTAGTCTGTTTCAGAATTAACACACTCTCCTTCTACTTTAAAATACTTTAAAATGAGATTTTTAATTCCCAGTTTGATCTCCAGGATCCTAGTTATTTTATGCTTTTCCACTTGATCACAACTTCTTTTTTTCTTAGGGGAATGGAAAGTTAATTATATGTTAACTTTCACATCCATCACACCTGTATTTCTAATGGTTGTGGAGCACAGGAGGTGAATAGAAAGAGAACATAATGAAACTCCCAGAACCAGTGTGTTTTGGTTTTAAAAGTTGTTAAGTAAGTATATTTATGTAGGAGTTGGATTGAGAATGGAAGTATCACTGTTCTCAGACACACATCGATATCCACTGCACCATGCAGATGCCCAGAGAAAGGCTGGGGCTTTGGGAGACCTTAGCCCCAGCTTTTCATAGTATCAGAAGATTTGCAAAGTATCTCTGTGGTCTAATCCAACCCTCCTCCTGTTCACCACAATATCTACTGAAGCATCTCTGATACCTTTTGCATCCCCCTACTTACAAGCATTTCCTGCCAATATACAGGAAATGTTTCCTGTTTAAAATGGTTTACGATTTAAAAATATCCCTACACATCTAGAATTGAGGCATTCCTTACTCAATATATAAAATAGGACCGGGTTAAAAAATAACTATCATAAAAATTATCAATAAAGCTGTGCATATGTGTGTACATATGGTATGTGTGTGTTTAGACAGCAGAATAATCATAGCAGGCAATAATTTTAGAAAAGTGTTGTGCAAGAAAACCTTCTCAGGTGACGAGTCCATGAGAACTAAAAAACACATGTTCTTTTGTATAATTATGGAGGTCAGAGTTTTGTCAGGGACCAGCATATCCATTCATTACTGATTTTATTCATACAATAACTGCTGGTAAGAAAAATATGGCATCAAATATTGGGGGGAAGATCTTATCCAAGAGGTTCATTTCAGGATACATCAAAAACACAGCAAAGTACTTGGTTCTCTGGCTGTTTTAAATAAAAGGCCATTTCAGGCATCAAATATATAGTCAAAACTTATTTGGCAAATTGCAATCGTTGTGCCATTTTCAGGTTTATTTCTTTGCCCTGTTTAGTATTGCTGTCTAATACCTATACTCGGTAGTGGAATTCTGTTCAAAGAGCATACATTACTTGGGCTTATATATATATTCCCATTTACAAAAGGCTAAAAATGCGAAGACCTAACTGGCAAGTTCACTTTGAGCCATGCTTCTACTGGGCGGGAAGGAGAATTCAATATCTATGGAATGTCTATGGAAAGCAAGATGGTAATTACAGCCAGCCAACAGTTAGTAAGTGAGGTGGAATTTCTTAGTGAAATTCAAGATGCTAGTTGTCACCTGTAAAGCCCTACCTGGTCTTTCTCTTAATTGGAGAAAGGCAGCTCACAAATAACCATGGGACCACCTTTCTCCAATTATCTCTACTCCTCCCATAAGATGAAGCATCTTATCTTGTAAGATCCTGGAGCCACCCTTTCTCTACCATCAATTCCATTCTCTAGAATATTGTTGCCGGAAGGTTCACCTGGCCACAACCTTAATGCCAGTTGAAAACTTGCCTTTTGAAATTAGAGGCTGTGTGATTTGTGATGCTGATACCAGAAGATAGTTGTGATGCTGATACCAGAAGATAGAAGGGGCGTTTTTCTCCCCATTGCATTCTATTTGTCTATGTGCTTTTATATTGTATTTTTATATTCTTTTTAACTATGCATACTACCTCCAGTTTTCAGATTTGATGGCTTATAAATCAAGCAAAATAAATCTCAGAGGAACAGAGAAAATTGGAAAGAGTTGTCAGCTTTCTGCTGTTCCTCAATGATTTTTCACAATAAATACTCATATTTAATCAGCAATAAATAACATTACTCTCCTGAAGTGATAACAGAAATTGCTGCCAGTACAGGAAACATTAAAGTGCAAACCACCTATTTGTGCACATGCAAGTGCCCTGCTGTAAATACTCCTAATTCTAAAGGAAGAAAGTGATAAAAGCAGGAAAATCTCAGGCCATTATTCTGTGGGAGAACAGATGGCCATAATCCCCAGAACAAAATCCTGCATTAGCATCTCAAAAATTCCAGAAGTGCAACAGAGAGGGGAATCTCTAGTTAAAAACTATATGCATTTTTTTTGGCTGATGTTTAGATAGGGTTTCACTTTTTTTAAGCATAGAGAGTCTCTATAATTCAGTTATGTAAA